AATTAATTATTCGGTTTTGTCCGTCTAATCACAATTATATTTAAAATTTACAAATAAGATAATTAAAATATCATTTTATGTCCCACATCGAATAATCGATTTACATTTGGAACATTTTTACAACATGTTTCGGTTTCATCGAACCATCTTCAGGTGTAAAATTATATCGACAAACTTAAAACTCAATTACAATTTATGTTGTGTAGCTTTTTGGAGATGTTCATATCCAGATTATTTTCACATATTGGAGCGAATGTATTGTTTTGTTTTGAAGTTGTAAATCGATTATTCGATGTGGAACATAAAATGATATTTTTAATTATCTTATTTGTAAATTTTAAATATAATTGTGATTAGACGGACAAAACCGAATAATTAATTTAATATTTTCAGAAAAATCGGCAAGGGCTCGTGTCGTTATCTTTACGTTCCTATATAAATAGACCCTTATAACTTACGAGGAAGTTTTCTGTAAGTGGATGTAATCAAAAATTGGATGCATATTTGCCTGCTTTGTGATTCTAGAACACGAAAGCAACTTTTACAATTGACGGAAGACATTTCTGTTCGTGAATCCAGAAACGACAACTTCCACGTCAGAAGTAGAAGGTACAGATTCAGATTGTAGATCAGTACCAAAATTTCACAGGAACATACTACCTCCATCTTCAGCCCAAAATAAGCATATGATACGCTGTGCATACAAAGCACACTCTTACATTTTTCGAATGGTACGAAGATTTTTACTCAAAATTTTTAAATTTTACATACTGACAGAACTACTAAGGTAAAAACCATGCTTCATCAATCGTGAACAGCAGCAAATGGGAAATTCATGTTGTACGACGCCATTTTGCACAAAACACATCAGCAAACCCCTGACTTTACGATTTCGTTGCGAGTACGAGAAGTACCATCTTACAAGAAAGAACGAGGCATTTTCAATTATTTACACAAATCCGCATTTAAATTTAATTTTCAAAAATTCATCTGCGAGATTTGTGTGTTTCATTTTTCCACCAGTTCCACGTAAATATCTCGTATTTCAAATATTTAAAAAAATAAATTAATGATCATTATTTTACTTCTCTTCGTAAAATCAATCTCGACGGTCAGCTGTTGCCCTACACAGTTCATAAACACCTGACAATCCTGGTTTAATCATTCATCATCAAAATCATCTAGCAGTGAAGAGGTTAGGACATTTGTCGACCAGTTCGAGGCTCGATGTTCCGAAGGTCTCTTCAAGGTCATCCTTTTTTTTATTCACGTAGTTTCAAAAATCTGTTTATTAAAAGATTTCGAAAAAAAATTCATTTTATATTTCAACATTTTTCCCAAATTATGAATTACTTACGGTTGTAAATAAAAATTACTCGAGGCTGTTAAAATTTTTCCAGAAAGTAAATCATAAATTCGAAATAAATAATTTTTCCAAGTTCTGTTTGAACGGCAGGGGTTGTAACCTTTCAAAACTTAAAATAAATTTCAAAATATTACATTTATTTTCTAACTGGGGATACAGAACACTTACGATCTTCCGTCACTTCAGTCACACGGAGCTGAAAGTGTTCAACATTCACAAAACATCAAACTCGTCTCTTCTGCGTGCTTATGTACAAGACGTTGTTGCCTCGAATGAACGCGTCGCCATATTTGTTTTTCAGTTGCCCATTTACATATTCCTCCGTTTGCTCTAGAGCAATGTTCATGTAGCCATCCAGACACGCCAGCACACCTGGAAAAGGATACAATTCTTTGAATCGTCGCAAATCTGAAATAAGGACCGCAGAGAAACACAACTTCCTCAAACGCGCGTCCTCCGTCCTCTAAACTGTAAGAAACGAGAGTACAGGTAGGCCCCGCCCCCTCAAGGTCGTTAGCTGACGCGACATAAATCGAGGAATAATTATAATGGCGGATGAGGAGACAGCAACTGACACCGACACTAGCGCCGCCTAGGTGCCAACTTCCTGTACTGCGTTTACGCTGTCGTTTTAAAATTTTCTTCTTATATGCGTTTTTTATTTTATTTTTTCAATATTATTTTAAAAGGCTCGTGAGGAGTTGCTGGTCTCCCATTGGGCGCCTCCCCCGGTGGCGGATAGGGGAATGGAGGGTACCGGGAGAAAACAATACCCAGGGCAGACCAAAACCAGACACTGCTGCCTTGTAGTGATAGAAGTTGGTTCTTCAAAGGTTAGGGGAAGGACACCCTGAGGAAAAATCACCTGGTCCTCCAGGTTTGTGGTTGACACGGTGGGCCAGCTCCTCGCCCGTCGGAATAAACCACGATGCTAAAAAAGCCTAATAAAAATAAGCCTCGGAATTGGAACCCAGGGCGGCTGGAATATCCAGAAGAGAGAGAGTGAGGAACGAAAGGATTAGAGAAATCATGAGGATGGATCGAGATACAATAGAGGAGATAGAGAGAAGACAACTGATTTGGTACGGACAAGTGCAGAGGATGGAGGAGGAAAGGTTACCAAAGAAGACTATGAAATTGCAACCAAAAGAGAGAAGGAAGACCGAGACCAGGATGGAATGACAGAATTACAAGAATCATGAAGGAAAATACCTCTGGAAGGATGGGAAAATAGAGAAGAATGGAAGAAAATATTAGGCACTGGAAGACCGAAGTAAAGGTCAAGAAACGGAAGAAGAAAAAGATTTTAAAAGGGCATTGAAGTGAAACAGCGTAAAATGAACCGTCGTAAAGCGGGGCCTACCTGTAATTGCATTTTTATAAGAGCCATTCTTAACACCAGAAAGGGCAAATTAAACAACAATCAAACTTAGGGACTAACCTACAAAATTTTTAACAAGCATTTACTCCTGTTCCAGCTCACCAATAACAATTCAGTTCCGATCACGTGGTTTAGGATTTATGTGAACAGACCTTGCTGCCAATTAGTCATCATTAAACATATAGAGATCATCTCTCACATCCTCCTCACACATCACGTCACTTACTTAAGCTCTACTCCTGGAACAATGCGTTTCGTAGGCAGGAATGGTGTAACCTAGCAAGGGACGATGTCTTGCACTTGCGCAGGACACCGCCCTTAGTCAGCTTTTTCATTTGTTGGTTGGTAATCGTGGCTTAGTCATCACTTCCATGATGGACACAGCAAGGACCTCTCTCAAGCACTAGTCTATCGAGGACTTTGGCTTCCAGCACAATTTTCCTCCATTATTGATGGTCCTAAGTCATTGAAGGTCAATTTCTTGTTTCCATAATCTTCAAATCCTCTTTAACCTCATCTATCTATCTTTTGTGTGATCTACCTCTTTTCTTTGATCCTTCCAATGTAATTGTCATGTTTCCAGGGATTCTTTGAGTTATTCACCCTTTCAGTATGTCCACACCATCTCAATCCGAGATATTTTATAAATTTCACATCTGTCCCTTCTAATACATTCTCTACCTCCTTATTGGTTCTTATTCGCAACCTTTCTCCTTCATTTGGACCTCAAAATCTGATAACACTCGACCTGAGTTAATTATTCACAGGACAAATAATGGTCACTTTTGTTCCTTACAATACGAAGCACAAAACACTGAATTATCGGTGATAGTGAAAATAAAGTATATAATCTAAGCGTAAACCAGGTCTTCCTTCTACAAGAACAACAATCATTTATTTCTTTATCCTTCTTCAGCCATTTTGAACCCAATATCTGCAATATTATAAAATATCCACTATAAAAGGCTTTTTCTGTTTCTTGTAGGAAGCAATGGTATGTTGTACTGGAAATTTTTCACACACAAATGAATCCATCCATCCACCTATCCATATTTATTACATTCCATGGATCCATAAGTTAGTCAGATGACAATAAGATGTAGAATAATATCCTTCAAAGTTCATAAAATACTAGAGGCTGAAACTGAACAATGCCTAATTGGTATTATATTTGTCTGTCCCTCAACTGTTTTCATGCAAAGATACAGTCTGTAAGTGTTCATAAGCCACAAGGTATATCTGAAACTGAGGACAACGGGCTGCTAGCAAATATTTTCACGGCCTTACCTCGGTAATCTACACCACTGTTCAACTTTACCACTACTGGCCTCCCATGGATTTGCTGAATGAACTGCGACAAAGCTTCCTTTCTGCTCATGATACTGCCAGTAACCTGCAAAGCACAGCAGTTTATGTACAGGTAAAGCCAATAGTTTCACCACACTATCTTATGAGTAGATTGCATTATTTGATAACAGTAAACACAGACAGACAGACAGACAAATGCTGAGCAGGTAAAAATTACATGTTGGATTTCTATGAGCTGTGTGCCATGTGCATCATTACATATAAATACAGTAGATTCCGGTTAATTGGGCCATCGGTTAATCAGGGCAGATGTTTATTCGGACAAATCTTAAAGAACAAACACTTTTAATCCTTTACATGGAACTTCACATAATTCAGGCCGCCACTTAATTGGGCTAAAGTGGTCTGGTCCCAGTGTGTCCCAATTAAGTGGCTGCCTGAATTATGTGTGTCAATCTATACATATGCAGAACCGACACTTACCTAATGTTACCCTCCACTTCTAATTGCCAAACACGTCCTACCAATATTTAAATTACTCAAAGAATGACAATTTTTCTTACTGCAATTCACATGCGTTCAAATATTTGGATATATAAATTTATCTTCGATACATCGAGTTCAATACATTGCCAAAGAGAACATTACAAACCTCCAACCAGAGAAAATTTCAATGGCCGATTTACCAAACCAAAGATGCTTGAAACCATGTAAATAGTATCAGAAAATTCGCTCCCACGAATCTTATCACAAGAATTTTTGCGAATTTTCAAGACGAAAATGTTCTCTATAAATTTCAGCAACTCGTTAAAAGGTCTATAGTTCAATGAAAAGGCTTTGTGGGACCAGAAAATGAAAACTTATCACAAGGAAGGTATGGCAAAATATAAGTGAGGTTATGAATGTTTCAAGTAAATATTGCAAACTGTTCCTTGGCACATCAGTACAAATTCTACATTTATGTATATTGAAGTAGTGGATTGTGGCACACATAATTAAGGAACGCAGAACTGTTAGATAATGCTATCTTCACTACTTTTAAAATGCATATCTGATGACACAAGCTTGTTTTGCTAACCTATTATTTGATTGTTATTTGTTTATATTTTGTGGTGTGGACGATGTGATAGTTGGATCATACATTCTTTATTAAAAAAATATTATGTAACAAGCATATGCACTTTACAATTAAATCAGCTTTATCTGGTGCAGTTTCAGTACACTTATTGAGTAACCTCCATTTGGGTGCAATTATACAAAGGCACAGTCCACTATTCTCCTTGCTCTAGAGAGTCTGTAGTTACAGATCTGTTCTTCCCTTGATAATTTTTTTTTGAATATGGTTTCAGGATATGTATCATCACCTAATAAAACATGAGGAAGTGACGAATCAGTTTGAGGAAGATTTGAATTTTGTGATAATAAATTTTCCAGGGATTTGTAAACACTTGATGCAGTGAAGGTTCCTCCATCGACCAAGACACGTTCAACATCAGTATACATCGTGTCATGGTCAGGGAAACATGATCTTCGGCTGTCGGAAAGCATGTTTCTGAAAATGTTAATTGTTAGTAAAAGGAAGGCTGGTCAAAGGAATAGATCTCCAACAAACGCCATCTGCTTGGAGAGGGAAGTGTACGGTGAATTTCACCATTTGAGGAACTCAGAAATTGGTCAAGAGGACCACAACTGTTTCACGAATACTCAAGGTTGCTGCCCAATATATTTTATTATATTGCAAATGCAATAAGAGATTAATTCATTTACTGTGTAACCAAGTTTCAACTGCAGTATTTTATTATTTATAATGAGATCAGTTTGTACAAATATGAATAATAAAGTTAGAAATAAAATTTTAAAAAGTATCAATTCCTGCTATCGTGCTCCATTCCCTGTCCACAAGCATCCAATTATGATACCTGTTATGTTTCATATCGCAAAGAATGTGTCTGCCAGTGCTTTCCCTGTATTGTATGGCCAGCACAGCTTAGTGTTCCGTGCGCTTTTTTCCAGACAGGAAAAGTGGGATCATGTTGGGCTTGGTCCACTGTATATTCCAAGGTCAGGCACAAATTGTTTCCTGAATTACAAGCCACTCCATAGACAGAAAGATAAAACTGAAATGGGTCTTACATTGGTGGCTTTGTAAACTGGATTAACGCCTTCAGGGTTCAATTGTTTTTCAATATCTTGAATCTTTGTGCTTTACAGACCACTGAGTTTGTGAAATTTTGCTGTTAGTAAATTCTTATTCTTCTCAGTGTTTCGCCCCCACAGCTCTTTGGAACTCTGGAAGTAGTTGAAGATTGAAGATGAGAAAAGAGTATGGGGTCTACAAATATTTAAAACCAGGACTAATCCCAAGAAACAACAGGGATCAGAGTTATCACATTCTGAGATGATCTATTTAAAGTTTAAAATATTTAAATATAAACTGAGTCATGTACTGCAGAATACGTTTATGTAACAGGCACCAAGAGGCTGTTTTCTATAAAAAACACATTCAATTTTGACTTTCAAACGAGGAATCCCTTTTAGAATATTGTAGTTAGAATTAGTTCCTCATTGTCAAAAAAATTATAGTAAAATAAGATCAAGAATACAGTATATCATTTTGAAATGTCCATATTTTGGTCAGAAATGCATGTCAAAATTGCATGCATGCATATTAATATAAAATTACACAAAACTTTGTTGTCTGGTGACATAATATGCAGATACCAAAGTATTTTTAAAAACTTGCAAATATATTTTAAGTTACAATATGTTGCAGCATTGACCTCTCTATTCTTCTTCTATGGCGCAACAGCCCGAAGTCGAGCCTTGGCCTCCTCCCATGTGGGAGGATTCTTTGCCTTTAATTTTGCTTACGAATCATCTTGTTCATGCTCGTAAGGTTCCTTCACATGCCATAAATCTACGACACGGGACTGCCGGATTTGCTTCCCCTCCGAAGGAAGTTGTGCTACGGATTTTTATCATCCTTAAAATCCATCGACCTCGGCCGTGTTTGAACCTGCGAACCTTGGGTCCAGTGGCGAGCATGTTAACCACTAGTCCACCAAGGGCAACTGTCCTCTTTATTATCAACAAAGAATTCACTTCTCATTAAAGAATGGGAGTAATAGCAAATAAAATACTGTAATTTGCAGAATCTTCATTAAAAAGTTTCTGCACATACTTTATCTCAAAACAACAAAATTTTTATCTAATCCAAACCTTATTCATCAGTGTATTAAAAACTGTCTTTTACTTCAACCATGAATGAAGATATTGGTCTCTACACCAACTGGTGTGGGAGTGGCACGAGTCTCTTCAGCATCCATGGGCATGGAAGTGCCATCAATCCGCTCAGCATCCACTGGCATGGAAGTGTCATCAATCCCCTCAGCATCCCCTGGCATGGAAGTGCCATCAATCCGCTCAGCATCCACTGGCATGGAAGTGTCATCAATCCCCTCAGCATCCCCTGGCATGGAAGTGCCATCAATCCGCTCAGCATCCCCTGGCATGGAAGTGCCATCAATCCGCTCAGCATCCACTGTCATGGAAGTGCCATCAATCCGCTCAGCATCTGCTAGTGTAAAAGTAACATCAGTCTCCACACCAGCAGCTTGCATTAGTGGTCTCTACAGCAGTGTTCGGCAACTGGTGTGATGCCACAAGGTTTCAGGTGTACCATGAATTTTTATAGAAAATGTCATACTTGCACACAGAAGTTAGCAAAGAACAACATTTACATTTTGTAACTAGAATTTGTAAAACATCGTGCGCGTGCACACACACATTCATTATTGATATTTTTATTCAACATATGTAATGTTTTGTTTTCATACGCCTGCATTCTTACAGGGCAAGGACTTACGTGTAGATATATTTCTACGGCAATGTATGATTTCATACCCCGTTTCTGCGAGGAAAATTCTGTCTTGTCATGTGTCTGACAAATTAAGATGTGCCGCAGATTAAAAAAGTTTGTAGACCACTGCTCTACAGCATCAACTAGCATTACATTTTATGAATTAGTCTGAACCAATTCCTAACTGGAACATGAGATTACCATCCGAACCAAACCCCTTCAATTAGTTTAGAAAAAGTAATGATCTTACCTGGTTCAGTTGGTTTGGAAAAGTTGCTGACTTTGTCAGTTGGTCCAGAAATAATTTTCAGGTTATCAGTATCAACTGACTTGGAAATGGCGCTGGTTCCCCCAACTTCAAATGCCTCGCAAAACAAAGTGGTCTCTTCATTTTCACACGTATTCGCATCTTGGACATCAACTGTGTCACTGGTACCGCCGTTAATTTTAGGAGACGGTAATTCGAAGGAGGTACCGGCTTCAATATTTGATACTGAGGTGGCAGTCCGTTCTGTCTCGGCAGTTTCCTGTAGTTCCTGATTTGCTTTCATTCTCGCAAGCCTCTTCTCCTTTGCCAATAACTGATTCCTAAGCATACGTTGTCTCTGTTCTGCAGTCATGTCCTATTGTGAATAAAGAAACGCCTGTCATTTGTATCGTGCTAATGTTTTTTATATAACGAGGCAGTCCACGTAATATTTGTGATGGAAATTGTAGCACTACAGCAAGTTTCTCTCCAAGTACTACAGTTTTCTCTTGCTAATTAGCATTTTACTAGCATTTCATATTCATCTGATAACTCTTTTAAGGCGTGTACTAGGCCTCCCTGCTCAGTACATTATCACAACCCCAAATGGGGTTTCAAATCTGACTCACCACACAGCCAGACACAGAGTAAGAAGTTTAATATTTTCGGTACTTGTGGGTTATCGGGACACATCGCTTTAAAAATAGGTTAGGTTAGGTTAGGTTAGGTTAGGTTAATGTGTGTGGATAAATGACATATACTTGAAAGTTATTATATTTTATTTCAATAAATGAAAAATTATTATATATTATTTGGATATGCACGAGATGTTAATTAATCCGAAATTTTTAACATGGTACCGAAAAGCAAGAAATAACTGAACGAACCAAGAGATATCAACAACCGAGTATACGGATATACCGATACGCATGCGCCGTGCCGATTCAACTCGCACATATATGACTCTCCCGTTTTGTGTCCCGATAACCCACAAGTACCATATTTTTCATATGTTAGACGTGCCAGACTACATAAAAATGTTTAAATTAAACAAGTGCTTTTGCCATACAGACATCAAATCATCAACTATTGACACTTAAAGAAAGGTAAACACTGAAAATGTTAACCGAGTTTGAAACTGAATTTCCAAACTACTCGCTTGTTTCATTAATTCACAAAAGTGAACAGGGAAGGGGGGGGATTATATACTCACTGCTGATTGTGATACTGCGGACTGATGTGGCGGTGGTAGTGTCTGCGAAGAAGGGAACTGTGTCCTGCTTTCTTGCCCAACTCTGGATAACTGCTGACTTAAAAGTTCATCAAAATCATCGACAGGTGCTTCATAATGAACTTCAGGTTCATCATCCTCATCAACTAATTCCACTGGTACATCAGCAGTTTCTAATCCCATGCGTATCTTTTTCACATAAACCTGGAAAGGTACACCATCTAATGGCAAATTACTATAGCAAGTCCAGGATCAGTGTAGCCGCTTGCTACACTTGGCTTTATGTAACATTTGCATGAAGTACCATTCATAAAATAAACACATAGCACGAAGTCACGTCTGTCCCGTCTGCTAGCTCAATTTTAAAACTACTATATCCTGATGATATTTAATATTTGGGTATTACACTAAAAGCTTCCACGTAAATTTATACAATGCCACCTCTACCAACCAATTATTATATTTTGTGAATGTATATTTATTTTTCCTACTGTTCACAAACACCAGCCACTGGACTCTACCATGAACCAATCCGCATCTTAAAAAGACATTTTCCTAAGAATTATTTTAATATTTACCTCCTAGCTACACCTAAATATCCCAAGCCCCCTTGAGACTGTGATAAAAATATGTGTATGCATTTTTCACTTCTCCCATGCATGTACCTTGGTTTAAAAACATTAACGTCTACTGACCACGCATCACTGTTTACACAAAATTCAGATGGCCATGCTCTGCGTAATATACCACTAAACTGTTAATCCCACACTGAAAGTCTGGTTGGCAGTTCCTTAGTTCGGGGACTTACATCTCCTGTACATATAAGATAAATGTTAATATTAGGTGGAGCGTAAAAATAATGCCCCACTTAATGGTACCTGCACCTTGTCGTGGTGGTGGGGCCGAGGACCTCAGTGACCCCAAGAGCTACTGGTAGGGGCTCCCTAGCCAGATTGGTCGAGGGGGAGAGGTCAGACTAAGACAGGTACCCTGGTCCTCCAGGTTGGGGGTTGGTCACAAGGCTAACAACCTTGCGCCGTAAAAAGGAAGATGTTTCAAAACCTCGGACAGACGGACCTAACAGAGCAGCGGAGGATAGGACCGAACGGAAGAGGAGAATTGAGGAGGCCATGGACCGGAGAGCCATAGAAGAAGAAAAATAATGAAACCCCTCATTATGTAATTTCCCTCAGTCAGTTGTGCTTCATGTGTCTGATACAAATATCTTCAGATATTCAATAACATTTTTTAGGATATCAGCCACATCATATCATCAGGGTTCTGGCAGAATGGGTCCCTGAGATGTCAGTTTCATCGTTTAACCATCTGACGCAGCTGATCTGCTAAGAAAATTTTATTGAGTTACGTTGCCGTAAAACCTTCAAATCACATATCCTCAGATATTCTTCCTTCAGAGGGAGACGCAAAGTCTTTTCATCAAACGAGACAATACTTCAAATTATAGTTTTTATGTCTAAACAAACAGTGCAACCTCCAGTTAATGTTCCTTAAAATAAGGCTTTCCCTCATTTAACATCTGTTAAATCTGCACCACTAAAGGTTTTCCTGTTCACCTGTTAAGCAGCGAAACTTAAATGTGGTCTTTGTAATGGATGGCACTCGAAAACATAGAAATCAAACTCCGGATCGTAAAAGGTCGGTAATTACTCGACCAAATGAGCGATCAACAGAGTGCTTGAAATAAGGATGATGTAGATTCTAGCAATGCTTTGCCAATAAACTTAAAAAACATAAAATCCCTCTTATCCTTCAGCTTTCCTTACATATTTACCTGCACATTCTTATTCTGCCCTAGTTTCTCAATCCTTTCTAAGCAGTCATCGAACTGAAAGCGGGGGGAAAGACGATGCGCCCAGTGCTCCAGTCTCTTCATTACCCTATCAAGATCAAATTTTTCATAACCTTTTCCGCGGAATTTGAAATCTTTGAAAGTATTCTCTAAGACAGCGATACCACGAGAACTTTGCAGCTGCTCCGGACCCAATTTTGGCCGAGGATTCCGGATGACTTGTTTCTTCCTGGGTTCAACTCTAGTACCATCCGGGTTTTCATTATCAGCAGTAGCTTCAAAAATCAAACGAGCACATTTATTACTGACATATTTCAATTAATTCTTAGAGAACATAACAAAACCATTCCATTTGCAGTGGTAATTTAGCTTCGAAATAAATGGGATTATAATCACGAAAACAGAGTACGTAAAATTTTCAAAGGAAGAAGCTGTTGCATATTTTAAGGTACTACGACATAGGTGAATAACAAATATCCTCAGTCAGGATTGCTGGAAATCGAGCTGAGATTCAAACAAGATGTCCTGCATGTACAGGTCCAGAAACTTAAACCTTTTGTGGAATTAATGGGGAAGCAATATGCTCACTAAATAAACTGTCCTGAACAGAACTGAAATTGGAGAATTACGATGTCAATCTCAATTTGTCTCAAGTACGTTATCACTTCAACAAAAAAAAAACAAGTAGTTCAGGGCAGAAGCCTACTTTTCTATTGCATATTTTGGTAATGCCAAGTTTATAATCCAATAAAAACTAACAAGTTTGGGGTAGACTCCAGTGGCATAACATCCATACTGAATTTTGTAAAAAGTGATCAGTATGTACATGCATACATGATCTAAATAAGTCTATTTTTAGGCACATTTACAACTAAATTGAAAAAATGCACCTGTAAGCTTTACCAAGTGTATCTGTACATCTATCTGTCTGTCGACAAGAAACAACTTGAGAACTGCTAAATATATTTTCAATTTATAAAGGTCACATTTACACTTTTAAACCAGACATCTGAGTTTCATTTCAATAACATATTCGTACGCAGTTTTTAGCCTGACATGAAAGTGTAATTTTAGAACAATGTATTGTACTGATGCATTCAAAGTATATAAATTATAGTCAAATTTCTATTTCATGATCATTAACTAAGAAAATTACAAAGCAAAACTCATTTTAATGTTTTTATTTTTTTTTACACATTGTTAGGAGAAAGATTAAATGAGGGGCAGGATCACTGGTGTTTACTTATGGAGTCAAAAATTTTTCCAATTAAATTTCTAAAATAATATAAAAATGTTCTGTTACTGTTAAAACAAGAACAAATTTAATTTAAACAAAGTCAAATTTGACTCTTAACAAAATAATGATCACATACCATCGTTAACACCGTCTTCAGACCCCCGGTCTTCTTCCTCTGCTTCACCAAACTGCCTATCACCCTGCTGCTCTATTATCTCATCTAAATCATTCGGATCGCCAATGAGGTTATCTTGATATATCTCTTCCAACATCTACAGTACAGCAAAATTGTCACCAAAATAATCATCAGATAGCTTCTTGCTATGGGCATATATCTTACGTAATTTTGTGAGACGCCTCCAGAGATAAAAGAAAACATAAACCTGAAGATTGCTGTCTTCCGGGTTGTTTCGCCATGTAGTCTGGTAGACGGTGGATGTCTACCAGACTACACGGCGCAACAACCCGGAAGACAGCAATCTCCAATCTCACTGCCGTGAAAACCTCAAATCCTACAAAACATAACCTCTCTGATAGTTGTACGCAGCAAAGTAAATGCTAAAACCCCCGACCATAAACCATAAATATTAAATTCATATATCAGATGCATCACACTGCAGGTTTGTAAGGGATAATCTGCCTCTTGTAACCTCTCCTAACCTTCGCCTTCTCGTGGTGCAATCTGTGCCTACTAATATGCTCTGGGGACCGTTGCATCAGGTACAGAGGAAATGTTGTACATAACAGCCGATCCAGAGGTTAGAAAGATAGCAGCCCTACCACTGGACTTACCTTCTTTCGCTTAGCAACCAATCGAAGGGACGTATATCACTTTCAAGGAAATAAAACAAACAGAACCGGACACATACATCTGATGACGATCAGGATTTGGATAGAGGACAACAATAAAATACATGGAAAAAGAAAAAATATATTACAACTTACTACCTGGAATGTTCGTGGCATACATTTTAAAGATCAAATGGATGGTATTTTGGAAGGAAAGAAAAAAAAATATGTAACAAAAACTAAAAGGTTTACAGGAAGCCAATAATTTCATTCAAATTTATATATCTGGAGTAATGATAATGATTCACAAATCCCTTAAACCTAACACAGACAGCTATTCATACTGGAGCGTCAGAATTATACAAGTAATGACTGTCAATGAAGACATACAATGTACTGTATGGGTTAAGACTGCATTCGGATGAGACATGAGCCACATCGCCTGTGGAAACCACATTAACTACCTACTTTTACATTTGTTTAGGCTGTATTTAACTAATTAAAATGGCAAAGACACGCATATAATTAATCAAATTGTTAGGTTGCAGCTTATTTGTAACATAACACAATTACATATAAAGCCACACAGTTTACTGTGATCATTATCAATTCCATTTCATTCCATCAATTAATTCACTGCTATGAAAGGATTTCTTGTGGAAACTGTAATGGAAAACAATGCTATAGGAGGGACATGTTCAGTATGCTTGCAGTTAAAGGTTGAAAACCACTGATTTACAAAATGGATGACAAACATGTAGAGGTTTAGAGCCACATAAAATAATTAAACTTGAGTGCATAATGAGTTCATATTCACACCATCGAAAATCAGGCATATATTTTTTTGTCTTCATTCCACACAAGGAGAAAACAAACCTGCTGTTTGGCACATGTACAAAGCTCTTCTAAATTTTCAGGATAAATTCCATTCTCCTTTTATTATTTTTATGTACATACATTCTAACCACTCAACATAACCAATCTATAACATGCACACTCTTGATAAACCCAGAGGTTTTCCAGTACAAGAACAAAACCTGAATTAAGTTGCATTACTTTTCATTGAATTAAATTATTTTCTAAAAGAAATATGTACATGACAGAAAAGGAATTGACACTGTACTCCTTGCAGCTTACAGATTGGTCATGTGTATACTTCTATTCTACTATTCCTTACACACAATTAAATAGTTTAAACAAAATTATTACCATGCACCAGCAGTATTAATTTTATTACACCCGAACTACAATTCACTATAAATGTAGTAACAAATTACAAACTTTTTAGCACTGCTTTTATCAGCATTAATCACAGGCAGGAAAATACCGCCAAAATAAAAACAAACGATACAAATGTACATCTTCCGATACATCGTCAGATGTCTCGATGTCCACTCTGGCAACGAATTCCTAAGCGTAATAATTACATTATCAAAAAACTCTTGCAAACCTGTTTTAAAAAAGACAATATTCGTACGGAGATATAACTACGGTAAAAATTCGTCCTCAGTCGGCGAATTCTCTGGGTCGTTTTGAGGTATAAACCGGTCGAACTGCGTTCCACAATTCATCCTCTCTAACAAGGAAGATAAGAGTTTCTTGTTCAAACGATCAGTCAATGTCAGGACATTTTCGTTATTTTCCACCGTTGTGTTGCTCGCAGTGTCTTTAGATGTCATTTCTTCACTTGGTTTACTCGGCATGTTTCAGAACGTTCTAAGAAAAAATACAGCAGTATATAAACAATCCACACACAAAAAACAAATTATCCAGCTGAGTAACTCTTTAACCGTTAGCGAGAAAAGTAACTCCGTGCGTATTGTGCTGCGACCTGTAGCGATATAAATGTAAACAACACAACAGCGACGACCAATAGCCCAATCGGTAACAAGGTTATCAACTTTTCAACCTTACGGTAAAAATGAGTGTGTATAATGATTTCCACGTAACTCTTATCCATCAGTTGATGGTATCCCAGCAACATGACTGTTCCTTAAACAAACGCAACAATGTCATTAAACAAACACAACAATTATAAACGAATACAACAATGCCAAACGCAACAAACAGACAACTAAACTGTTTATTGGCATTGTTGCGCTGCTCTCACGGCAACACGTCACAATATCATTTGATTTCCGACCGGGGCTGAGTTTTGAGTTTCTATATTTATCCTCGTGTATGATACGAGATGTTTCGTAAGCAAAATACAGCGGCCATTTCTCACCCAAAAAGTCTCCTGATTCACAGCTAGATGGCTCTGGCAGTCAAATCAGGATTGAGTAGAAATTGTGCAGAGTCATTGGGCTGGTCACTCACTACATATAAATGCACGCTTAAAAACCAAGAAACCTTCGTAAAGGAGACGTCGAAAACCCACAACAGGGTTGTAGTGCCGATAAACATTTATCCTCGTTAAGATAAATGACTTAAATTAGCCACGTGGGAATTTTGGTAGTTGATGGGTTATCTACTTATTTAACATGAATCTCTCTTTTATCGCAGAAAAATTGGAAAATTGTAAACAAAGAAATACTTTTATTGGCCTATTAACCGAATCTTATATCTACAGACACTGACAATTCACACCAGAAGAAATTCTGGACAAGGAAAATGTATTATTATCAAAAACAGATTTACATACGTTCTTAAATAACCATTTATTTTCACGAAGAACTTTCAATTTGAGACTCATGAAAATTTCACGTACAGAACTCGAGAGTATCGATTAGCAGACGTACATTCGATCGATTGTCTCATATTCCATAAATGTGCGAGATAAATATTGGAGTATCACTATCTCATTACAAAGATGTATGACAACTACCATAAGTCAATATTATTCCAAAGTATTATATTCATGACAGATCTAAGTGCATCTCTTCACAAAATTGGTTTTGTCTCCTGTCATCCATGAGCTCATACACAAAACCTCTTTAGGTTATAACATATTATAGAACTAAGGGGTGTCCATTATATTTCCCATCAATAAATTATATGCTTCAAGGCCACGGGGAAAACTTCATTTCCCTTAACGCTCGACTCTGAGTTAATGCGATGGAAAATTTCTTCCGACAACTTAACTTCTGTCACGTAAGGAAAATCACATTTTAATTGGCCCCAATATTTGAGCGTAATAGAAGCGTCAATATATATTTCACACGTTTATACTACTTTAAAAATCAGATTCCATCACATTTATCTTCAACACCCGTTGTTATATTGTACCTGGTACATTTTTACCTTCCATTTGGACAACGTAGCTACGATGTGTGTTTAACTTTATTTATTATTTATTTAGTGTTCTGTCTGACGACAGGTCCATATGAACAGGATCCTTCCATCCTTTTCTAGGACTGGGACCTGTTCATATACGTTCTTGGCAGATGATCCAGAAGTGGTTTGCCATTGCCTTCTTCTGTGTGTGAATGGAGTAATTGTTGGGATGCCACGGAGGAAATCTCCGTGTTGCCTAGACCACGGCCTTGCCCAACACAAGTTATAAATTCGGGCACCGCCGGCAATCGAACCCGAGACCACCGTGGCTTGTTTAACTTTACACAGGAATATGTGCTACAAATTCTGCAGGTATCTTGAAATAATTTTATTTGGACAGCCCTTGATAAAAATCGTAAAATATATTAGATGCGTAAATAAATAATACTGCAGACAGACAGAGCTCAACACCACGCTCTGATCTATTTCTTCTCAAGCAGGTTGTAGGTGACTGAAGTAGGTTGAAGCCATGGTACCTACCAAATGCGTTATAGTTTTCGTGTTATCGGCACTAGTTATAGCTGGCAATAAGAATGAATCAGGTGTTATTCCCATAAGCACAGTTTCCCAAGTCATCACTTCAATTTACCACCAACTCCACTCAAATTTCGTAATATTACTCCACGAATCTACTAACATCGGAGGACGTAAGTATCTTGATGTTTATTTTAATATTCCGATGACTGTCTTCTGGGTTAAGCCGCGTAGTCTGATAGAAGTTTACAGACGTTTCAGAGGTCTGCCTCTCTTAACACGGCGATAAATACGAATGGACATCAACTATACGAGAATTTCATAATTTTTAACTGAATTCTTAAAGAATTCTGAATGAGATTAGGCCAGAGGAACTAATTCAAGATGATTTAGCTCCCAAATACAAAATTAACTAATTTGAGTCGTAAATTGTTTCGCAGAGGTCGGTCTTACTAAAAGACTGCACACACTTAAGAGACAGCTGACTGTGGCAAGAGTGTACACTGCAGTTATCGACATATATGCTGTCGATAGCATTCTACAATTACATTCTGTAGACCACCGTTCTCCCCTGGTGGTACTGCCAACGGATACGCTGACCGTCCACGAGGTAAGTCCTTACTGGGACGAGCTCGAATTATCTGCAAGTCCACCTTACTTCATTAACAATACTTTAAATTAAATCTAGTTAATTATGTTATTATTTTATTTATTTAGTGTTCTGTCTGACGACAGGTCCATATGAACAGGATCCTTCCATCCTTTTCTCGGACTGGGACCTGTTCATATACGTTCTTGGCAGATGATCCAGAAGTGGTTTGACATTGCTCAACCCAGATCCAGTTTTATTTACACAGAGTGAATGTCGAATGCCACTGAATATTCTGTTATGCAATCCCGCACAACGAACGTTATACACTCTTACCTGAAAACATCAATCTTTATATCTACCTTTTCCTTTATATACACATTTTTCTCTTCGCACTGTTAGTTAATTCACACTTTAATTTTCAAACTTGAATGCACTCCATCACAATGTTTTTTTTTACAAAAGCCTTTCCAATCAAAGTCAGAAGCTGGATCTTACTTAAAGCATATCACATATTACGTAAACACTATTTACATACCAAACGCTTAAAAGACCAACACGAGAGACTTTAATAAGTTGTGCAGGACTGAATAATGATACTAGAAGCCTGTCTAATATCGATGGTTGTCTACCGATGTTATATTAAATGCAAAAAAATATTTTTCATAGACACTTTTAAGTTCCACCGACAGCAAACAATTTTTACCGACAGATCAATGAATGCGTCTTAGAAATTAAACTTAGACCCCCAATAAAAAATTACCCAACACTTAAAATTAATGTTTGTTTGTGTCTTTTTTAACTGAAAATCAACGCGTATGACGATTTGGAATGGTAAATTCTGAAAGGATGTGACAGTGACGTGTTTTAACTGGGTTTCAGCATTTTTTAAAGGGACTAACAAAACTTCAGTCAATGTAATCAGGTACGAGGTGACTCCTAACAGAAATAATCGGTGCCCAGAGACTTTAAGTATATTCCACAGAGCTGATCATAAATCAAGCAAGTGTAAGTAATATTATTACAAGCGATTTACTTTGAGAGAAATTTAAAATACAAAACAACCACCACCTAAGATAGGTTACAATTCGTTATGTCTTAGTCCTTCCCGATTTAATTTTTATATCGGTAAATGTGATCCATTTAAAATATATAATTTAAATTTTACCTTAAACATGATGTGCTTTGATGCTTAAAACTTCTTTAGTAGTATAATTAGAAATGAGAATAATTAGAAATATTTAAATGTTAATTATAGTAATATTTTAATATTTAATAGGAATTTTATTGTGATTAGACTGACAAGATTTAGACAAACAAATATAATTAGAAATATTTAACATCACAAATATATCGTTTATATTTTAAAATAAGAGTTTATCATTATACCGTAGTACGTGCAAAGAGATGTCCGGATGCAGGAACATTAAGGTATATAATGACTATTAATATAACTCCCCTAACATTTCCCTAACATAAGTCCATATGACCTTTCTTTGTTGACAATTTGCCTACAGAATTATAATAATACAATATAATTTACGTTTTGTAACTTAATGCAATAATTTATTGGTTTGTATTGTGTGTAATTTACGAGAAAATTACATTTTCAGTTACAGGTTTCATTATACAGAATTAACTTTCAACCCAAGGGAATACCAAGTGAAACCTTAACTGAGGTTTTAAGTATTAATCTGTCGTTTGCTTACAATTTCTGTTTTTATTAATATTAATTCTTTTTATTGTCATTCGTCAAAATACGATATGAATTCACGATTCGACATATTGTATCTATATAATTTTTAAAACCCAGGTCCCGTCTTTATAAAACCTCATCACATCGTCGTTATAAATGCAAACATATTAATGATTAATAGAAAATATTAACTAACTAACTAACTAGATGGCTTACCGAACCCGAAGGTTCATCATCAAATTACCCAAAGCCCTCCACCGGACCCTGTCCTGGGCCAACAAAATCCAGTCTCCTTCAACTCCTATCTCCCATAGATCCCGCCTGAGATTATCCTCCCATCTACGTCTAGGTCTCCCCAGAGGTCTCTTCCCCTCAGGCTTCCCAAATAGTGGACCCAACCAACCAGATGGCTTACCGAACCCGAAGGTTCATCACCGAATTAACCAAAGCCCTCCACCGGACCCTGTC